ACAGCCTGCGCCTGGGCAAGCACATGCATTTTAACTCTGCTCACACACTTTCCTAGGCACTCTACTTGTACTTAGGGTTTTAGCTAAAATGCATGTGATTGGGAAGCACTGAGCATACAACCACATAAATGAGACTTGGATTATACTGCACAAGGTGTGTGCGCGTTTGTAAACAGATGACCCCTTATACTTCAATTCATCAAGAATTTTCTCCGTATTGGATTCTTTGATCACCGTGCAGCATTAAATGTAACACCAAGGTGAGTAATTGATATCCAAATGATCATTTTGCAGGTGAAGTATTCCTTTAATGTTGCCGCCTGAGGCTGGCTTGCTTAAGTGCAAAAAGTATCTTGCAAAAACACACACACACACACACACACACACGCTTGTGAATTTATCACATCTGAAACGCTATCGTACATGTGAAATTACACTCCAAACATGCAATCCAGCCAAGCCCTCAGTACTCAGCCATGTTGCCAGAGCTGATAGCACTCTATCAAGGAGAGAGCAGCAGAGCGGCTGAAGCCAGAGAGTGGCTCTTTTTCTCTGTGGTCCTTTCTGCTGTCAAACTACATCAGCCAGACTGAGCAACTGGGTGCCAGTAGAGAAAGCACCTGTTGAGACGAAAACTGTACGCTTTTTCTTGGCCGCTGAAGGAGGACAGTCAGCCTCGCCTGGTGAGGACAGTCACCGAAACTCAGCTGGAAATTGGTCAATCAGCATCTCTCCTAGGGCTGTGACTAATGGTTGTTTTCATTGTTGATTAATCTGCTGATTATTTTGTCGATAAATGGTGCGTTCCAGGCAGGCTTTTGAACTCGTAAGTCACGACTTCAAGTCACGAGTTACGACTTTGTAGCGTTCCAGGAAAGTTACGGCAAACTGCCAGTTACTTCCTGTTTAACGTTGAACATGGCGAACCGTATGTTTGTGCTTCCCCAATATTTCTATCGCAAAAGGTGCCTGCTCCTTGCTCATTTGAGCGAAACGGAGGAGGAAAACAGCGCACAAGGTCACGGATGCTATTATACTTTTTATTTTACGTTATCTGTGTGTTTGGAAACGTATTTTGTATTGATTATTCTTGCACTGGAAACCAGCTGTTAGAGCAGCTGCCAATAATGCGTTAACATTAGGGTTATTTTATGTATATTTCTCACCATGTATCACAGAGTTCACGGGTGGGAAGTTACGGGTTTGACTGCCGTTCCAGTGCACATTCACGGGTTACAGGTTGTGAAAACACGAGTTACGGGTTGCCTGGAACGCACCATAAATGATTCGTTGTTTGGTTTATAAAATGTTAGAAAATGGCGAAAAATGTTAATCAGTGTTTCCCAAAGGTCCAAGATGACATACTCAAATCTCTCGTTCTGTCCACAACCCAAAGATATTCAGTTTACGGAGTAAAGAAACAAGAAAAAAGTCACATTTAAGAAGCTGGATTCAGAGAATTTAAACATTTTTCTTAAGAAATCACTAATAAATTCATGATCAAAGTAGGTGGTGATTAATTCAGTCATTGAAAACTACTCGATAATCATTGCAGCTCTAATCTCACCCAATGTCATCTTGACATTATGCAAAAAAACAGCACAGAGGACTAGTGACACACCACCACACTTATGGATCCATTTCCTGATGGCACCCGGGCCACAAATGGGGACAGATGGGCTTGTATAACTAAAACCCTTGTGTCTGGCGTGGGAGCAAATGGCAGAGCCGCACAGCTTCGTGCCAAATCTCCAGACCTTTTTCAGGTAATATGAGAGAATGAGTCATTTTCCCTCATAAGCCAGGTTTAGACACACCACTGTGGTTGGGAGAATGTAATCAAGAGGGTCTCTGTTAGAACAGCTGATATTTCTTGAGGCACACAGGTGGCAGCAGACTGAGGACTGAACTCCCTTTGCTGTTGGAAGCACGACAGGTGAGCCGCCAACAAGTTCAGTCTGTCAAATGGCTTCGCTCTCCTTGTCATTCCCGTCCGTTCCAGATCGTGTCGAGTATTGCAGTGGCGGTTTGGATTCGATGTCGATATTCTGACACTGTTTCACTGCTGCTGTCAGGTTGAGAAGGTTAGAACTCAATTGTCCGTCTTATTTGAGTTGCAAGTCTGTCAGCTACACAGGAGACTTGTCCATGTGGGAAAATAATCTCCAACTACTGTTTTTAACAGATAGGAATTTCATCATCATTTTACACCAAGAAGGTGCTCTGGAGGCCCTTGATGTGTTACATTTGGATGACAGGCAGCTGTCACATCTCTTTCTCTGCCAGCTTCACCTCCCCTCACTGAAAGCCCCCCTCCTTCTGTGGATACTATAAAAGCGCTCCTCCTTTCCCGGTCAACAGAGGCATGCCCGCCCTCTATCCACCCACTCAGACTTCAGTTTTCTCCCCCCCGATCTCCTTCATCCGTCCCGAGTCTCCCAGGTGTACTCTAACTCATGAGCTCGAGCGGGAAGCCACACTTCATTAAGGCCTGTACTGATCCTGAGGTGCTGGAGCCGGAGGCGAAGTCAATGAGAGAGTCGGAGTGAAATCTCTCTGTTAGGCTGCGAGGCACAAGCGCACACAGCCAGAGGCCAGAGAGACAGTGTTTATCCCAGGGCTGGCTCTGTTCACACCGGGCTTGTAATTAAAGCTACAAGGCTATTTCAGAGACACAGACATTTGAATACGACACAGAATGCTTTTGACTGGTTTTGAGGCATCACTTATTGCATTGCAATGTTATGCAAGGAAGGGAAACAACTTCCAAAGTGGACTTGTTTGAAGATCACCTTTTCACTTTCTGACACAGATTCTGCACCAAGCAGCCTCTCCACCTTTTTACTGTTTCTTTTTGTTATATTTTGTAATTAAGTGACAGTTTTACTACAAATTACTACATTTAAAGACATGATATGTAACTTTTCTACATTAAAATGAATGAATTGTGTATTTAAATTATCCCAAATGTTTTCCAACTATGTCCAAACCCCGAAAAATCTGCAATTTTGACAGTCTGTGCCATTTGGCACCTATCAGTGCTGTCATACGCCCTCTGTGCATGCATCAGGGTTGTGGTTGTCTGCCAGAAGCTGTCATAAATGGACTTTTATTCAGTTTTAAGCCACACTTTTACAATACAGTCTGTAGATCTTGATCATTTTAACTATGTACTTAACTGGATGAATGAATGAATTTTCATCCAGTTATCAGGCATCTAAATCTGAAGATATCAGAGAAACGAGCCGAGCAAAGGTTAGCAGCAACTCGGCTCCAGCCCCTGCTGTGCCAAACAGTGTCAGAGAAACACTGATTTTTAACGTGAAACTGCTTTTTTCAGTGTTTTTACCAGTTTAAATCACTGGGTCCGTTTGTTTTGGAGAGGAGGAAAACTCTGAGGATAATTCGGCTCCTGCTAAAAACCTTCTGAATGTCTGAATCTTAAGTTACCAGAGTAAAAAGGTGAGCACACATTAGCAGGTGCTGCGCTAACGGCCTGTCTCCAACATGCAAAACAATGTCGGAGAATTTGAAACATGAAAAGGCTCTATTTAGTCTTTTTACTGTTTTAAATAATCTGGTCCGTTTGTTTTAAAGAGGAAGAGACCTCTGTGGATAATTCAGCTCCTGGAAAAAACATACTGAACATCTGGATTTTAAGTTATCAGAGAAAAAAGGTGAGCACACATTAGCAGATGCTAGGCTAGCAGCCCCTCTCCAACGAGCCAAACAGCGTCAGTGTCGGCGTAAAACTGCTTTATTGAGTGTTTTTACTGCTTTTAATCACAAGGTCTGTTTGTTTATGAAAAGGAGGAGACCTTTGTGGATAATTCGGTTTCTGGTAAAAACCTCCTGAACATTAAAGACTGAAGGAAACCTTGCTTGGACAACCTGACTGCAATGACAGCTGTGACGCTGTGACACTGTGAGGCAGACTGAACAAGAGATGTAGAAGTCGGAGAATATGCTGACAAATTATCTTACACTTCCTGTGAGGTAAAATAAACTTTATTTCTCACCCTCCATCGGGAGTCCATCAGCCCAGACAGAGCAGATTTGTGTTTTTGTCATGTTAACTGTGAACTGCAGCAGCGATGCTCTTCCATTACGCACTTGACTTCAGCTGCTCAACTGTGCTTAATTGGCAGTCTGTTCAGAGGCTTCCTTTGTGGAAGATAATGATGGTTTCAGTGAGAAGCTGGCCATAGAGCTGTTACACATTCAGTCCAAAGATGTGTGTGTGTGTGTGTGTGTGTGTGTGTGTGTGTGTGTGTCCGTGTACACACATGGATATACACGTGCCAACATATGTGTGTGAGAGGACTGAGAGAAGAGGGGAAGGGGCAGGAACACAGATGGAGGCAAAGAGGGTGGAAGACAAGGCCGACTAATATTGACTCTCTTTTCCTTCTTTACTTTCACCAAGATTGTCCTTAAAATGCCTCCAAGATGATGTCCACAGATTTATGGAAATATTAGATGCTGTTTGCTTCGCCTGTTTCTGGATATATACATAGATTACTGAAAATTGTGAAGGGATGAAACCCACACACATCAAAGTTCAGGCTACATTCTCGCTGTGATAAAAAGGGAGTATATGAAAGCCAGCAGACGGAGCGCCATTAGGCTGTTAAATCCATTTCTTTCTGTTGCTTTTGTCTGCTTTGACCTGCATGTTTACACAGATACATAAGCAGAGCTGCAGTATAAATATTTCTTCACAGGTTCCCATCCACTTTCCAACAACAGTTTTTTTTCTGTCTCTGTATTTCTAAATCTGGCAATAGAAAAACTCCTCACTATGCTCCTCTTGACTGTGTATCCAGGATTATTTCAGGCCAGGAGAGCTGTCAATCAGCAACCACACAACACAGACTGAAGTCATAATATTTTAAAATGTTTCTCACCTTGACATGAGCCTTTACACTAAGTACGGCAACACAAAAATCATCAAACAGCAGGTTTTCATTTGCCAACAGTTAGAACAAAAGGCTGCATACCTCCAGGTAAGCTGATGGGGCCACAGCCTTTGCCCTGAGGGTCCTCCTCCACGATGAAGATGGTCTTCTTGCAGAGCCTCCAGAGGCCAAAGTGGGCCGCCTCGCACGTAGCATTGAGCTTCTCCACCCGGGGGCTGAGCACGGCCCAGTGGTCAGTCACCACCGCCGCCAGCATCGCCGACATGCCCACCACAATCACCACGGACGTGATCTTGACCTTGGTGGCCTGCTCCTCAAACATGCTGCTGCTCGACGTGTGTGCAAAGTTCTGGACGTGTGTGCGTGCGCGTGCCTGTGTTTGCACGTGTGTTGGTGCGTGTGACACGAGTAAGTGAAATGCTGGTGTGTGCAGATGGAGTTAAAGACTGCGTAAGAGAGTCGAGGTTGCCTTGTTTGTCTTCAGATCCTTGACGTCGGATGTTGACTCCAGAGGTTCCCCGGTCTCATCTACAGCTTCACTACACTTCTGGTGTCCTCTCGTCTCTCCTGCTCTCCTGTCCACAGCTCTTTCTTTCTCTTTCTCTGCCTTGTGCCTGGTGGTTGGTAAAAAGGGGCCAGATAACAGTGCCCTAGTTTCTACCTCTCTCCTCGCTTCCTCTCCCTCCCAAGTTGCCTTTGGTGAGCTGAGGCCATTCAGCTACGAGATGAAGATCAAATGAGGAGTGCTTACACCTATTACACCCATTAATGGACCATTCTGATGTCGACAAAAGTCGGGTCAAGATCAGCGAGGTCAAGATCACCTTCATTTGGAGTTTAGACTCAGTGTATTGATTGTGAGTGTTCTGGTCATGCGCTTTTAGCCACAACATATAATGAAAACTTCTGAAAGTTTTAACAGTGCTATTCAAAATGTAATTGCCATGCCAAATACTAATGTTATAAGTCAGCCCAGTCTCCAGAATAAAATGCTGCCATGGTATGTTTCTGCAAACTATGAATATGATACATTTGTACATTTCATACCTATGAAGTAGTTTTGAGATATTCAGCTGTATTTGTAGTGACAAAAGTGGGTATTTTTTAACAATAAGTCGGGACATTTCTAGCCTTGTTTTTAGTGACAAAAGCAGGTATTTTGTCACAAGAGGTCAGGACATTTCCAGCTGTTTTTGTAGCTTTGAAGGCAGGTATTTTTTTATGAGATTTTGGGACATTTACAGTTGTGTTTGTGCGACAAAAGTGGATATTTTGTGATGACAGTTTGGGATATTGCCAGCTGTGTTTGTAGTAACAAAAGCGATTGAAGTTTGGGGCATTTACACATATTTACACATTTTGGAGCTTCAAAGGCAGGTATTTGAACAAGAATTCGGAACATTTCTAGCCTTGTTTTTAGTGACAAATGCAGGTATTTTGTAACAAAAGTGTGGGGCATTTCTAGTTGTGTTTGTAGAGACAAAAATGGTAATTTTTTTTAACTAAAATCTGGGGCATTTCCAGCAGTTTTTGCAGCGATAAAGGTGGGTATTTTTTCTAACGAGAGTTTGGGACATTTCCAGCTGTTTTTGTAGTGACAGATGTGGTTGTTTTCATGAGCGCTGACATTTCTAGATGTGTTTGTAACAAATAAAGCAATTATTTTTCAATGTAACTTTGGGACAATACCAGCTGTTTTTGTAGCAACAAAAGCAGGTATTTTGTAACGAGGGATCCGGACATTTCCAGCTATGTTTGTAGTGACAAATGCAGGTGTTAACCATGTGTAAATAACAGCATTGTCACAATATAAAATTGAAAACTGAAATGTAGTTTTAACATGTCAGCTACATATGAAATGTACAAATGTAATATATTTGTGGTTTGAGGAAACATACAAAGCCAACATTAATTCTGGGGATTGGATTGTTTTCAGTTTATCATTTATCTAAAAGATTCTCCGTCTTTCGTATTCTTATTCAGTCTGATCTGTTTCCAGCTCAGTTGTCTCAGGCGCTGTGTGCCAGGGGACTCCTGGGGGGGGAGATTTCCTTTATTAGTTGTCGTCTGAATGAGCTGATCTACTTACTCAGCCAATCAGCGGTTCAGACTTGAGACAAGGGTCCCACCTGATGCCGGCAGCTGATCCAGATTCAGAAAGATAGAAAAAGGGCTTTGGCAGAGGAGCACTAAAATTTGACATGCAGTTCATAAAGTTAAAATATTCTTGGCAGCACAGTAGAGAGAGCTCTGAATTTTTAGAGCTTGTCTTGTTGTTATTTAATGAGTTTGCCTCCTGAATATTAACTTGCATTTGGAGCAAGCAAAAAATCCTACAAGTGGTTGTGTCTGTATGCTGTTACTGTATGCTTTTTATTATATGTTTGACGATACATTGAGATAATAATCAGATTTGGCACACAAATGCTTTCGCTGGCTTTACTAAAAAACAACAAAAAAACAACAACAGGTTGGGGATTGAAAACTACATCAAAATCCTGATACATCTCAGAGGCACAATCAACCTTTTCCCTATGAAATACTTGAGTAAATGGGCATGCTTTTTATAAACCACTGTGCCCCACTTTAGACAGGACTCTGGCCCATTTTCATTACAACGCACACACAGCTCTGGGCTTTTAACACATTAAACGGCAAGACGTTTAAGGTGAGAGGTAGAGGGAGAGTCTTTCAAGAGAATGAAAAATATAATACTGAAACTTGTTTGTGTGCTTGTGTGAAAGTATAAAACTGAGGCAGAGAGTCTGGATTGTTTGTACATTGTGTTCCCCAATTACACAAAATATGGGTTCAGATCTGTGTGTGTAAAAAAGAGAGAGTTGCACAGAAACACCACAGCGTCCGATGTCTCATACATTTTATAGAATGATTGTGATGTGAGAGAGCCAAAGTGCTTTCTGTAAACACCATCAGTAGCTAACTGAACCAAGAAATTGATCATCAAAGAAACCCCACAGTGGGGGCTGAGAGGAGATGAGAGACAGTTGTGTTCATTATCACGTTCCACCTGGATGCATTTGCAGCAAAACTGCCTTTTTTCCACAGAGGAGGAGGCTGTGAGAGCGACCGCTTGTCTCTAAGTGTGTAATAATAGTGTCTTTTGGCGCAGCCCCGTCTTTCCGGGTGACCCTCTGACCTGCTTCATTTGCTCACCATCCCCTGGTGACTGCCAAGAGACCGAAGCACCTCACAGCTGCAGAGTCTCCAGGCAACAGCCAGCAGCGTGGACGGCTGTGGTGACACGTCATCAACGGTACAAGCGTCTCACACTGGAGGGATCACCTCATGTCAACCGAGGAGGGATGACAAACACTAAAAACAGATGACAGCATCTTGCACGAAGCTCTGACAGCATTACCAGGAATATCAGTGGCAAGCTCCCACTACCGGAACTGTTAGAGCAAGGACAGAAACATACAAAATCACTTCTGCTGAAATCAGGATTGACACATCTAAACTCAGCAGTGATTAACTTCAATTACAGCTGCCAGCGTCCCTCTCAGAATTTTTATTCCAGGATGAAAAACAACCTTAACTGGTGGCTAATTTTACCCATAACAGAATAGATTGCGCAGCCTTCAGAGGGACCCGACTGTATTCATTTGCTAATGACAGGCAACATTACTCAAGCTAAATTAGATTACCCATGCCCCAAGGCCATTCCTATGAGGGTCATGTTAATATTCCTCTCTAAAACAACTGGATCAGTTACCAAACATGTTGATGCCGTCTTCGCTCATTTGACCCTCTTCTGGCAAAATCTTTGGCCATCGATCAACATGAAGCAGAGGTTAGGTGAAGCGAGACAGTGATTTGTGAGTTAATGAGCGCAGATTGAAGAAAAATGAAATTAGGTGGAAATTACAAGGGGTTGATGTAGCTGTTGTACTGCAACATCAGATATCACTATCGAGAGATAATTTCCCCAGCTAGATAAACAGCTCCTCTTTTACCTAAATAAATTCTCACCAGCGTAATTAGGCATATCAGCCAGGGTAATGTCGTTTTTATTTTTTCATATCAGGCACACCGTGTCTCTCTGTAGTGGTACTTGAAATGGAGAGTGCTCTGTATCTAGGTATATGATACAGTGCATGTGTTGCAATATACTGTAGGTGAAAGGTGATGTTCTGCTGCAGATGGCAAATAAAGGGCCCTTTGAAAAGCCATTGCTGCATTAGGAAGATGTTTTCTTTCTGCCTTGAGAAGTAGAAACACTGGACCTGGTAAAAAGGATTTAAACTCAGCTGAATAGCCTTATTCCTCTACCCGCTGTTTTCTCTTTTCTTCAGTAGAGAAAAGAAAAGTTCATTCTGCTCACTGATTGAATCAGCTGCAAACTGCTGAGATTTTTTTTTAAAAAAAAATGGCTTCATTTTGGTCAGGTGGCACCTCTCTGAGCGACACTGACAGCTTTTAACATTTTGATCTAAGAGCGCTGCCGTCAGCATGATGCCGGCTGATTTATTTCTTCACCAAACAATGTGGAGACTCTGAGGCTGAAGAGGCTCATAGCTCATTCTGAGATGACAGTGATTCAGTCTTATGCAACAGAACTGAAGAGGCATCCAGAAGGTCAGCCACAGAAATCTGAATGAAGTGCTGCAATCAAAGGTCTGCAGTGGAAATCAAGCTTCACTGAGGTGAATGCTTATGGCTGTAATATCTGGCATAAATCCTGCACATTTCCTGCACGTCTGTATCTGTATGCTGTTATACATAGCTGAAAAGTTGCTGTCTAAACACCCTGGTTTTGGCATTTCTAGAGCCATGCTAACAGCATGTCATTGTCAGTCTGTTGTTCAGTCAATCCACCATTTCCTGACTGAAATATCTAAACAACTATTGTATGGATTCAAGGAAAATTTCTACATTCATGATCCCCAGAGGATCAGTCATAATGACTTTTCCCCAACACAATCACCAGAAAAAAATGTTTGCATACATTTCTGCAAGCCATGGATATGTTAACTCGGTCTCACTCTGAGGTTGTCAAAATCTGGCGCTTGGACAGTGACTTGCGGCGTCAGACGCTGACGTCAAAGCCATCCTTTAAAATCGGCATGATATGCAGTGGGTTGCCTTTATAGTTTAATGGTGCTTGGCAACGTCAGGGCGAGACACAGCGGGACAGGAATGAAAGTTAGGGCAACGAAAGTCCAAGTAGGATGGGTGGGAGTGGTGGTGGATGGGTCCAACAGACACCGACTTTCACCTGGGAGAGCGTTGTTCACATCCCATAAGATTATGCATTGTTTTACTGGCATACTAGTGCTTTTTTTGTGTGGGAGACTGTATGTAAACGGTAAATTTCCTGTGTAAACAGAAGTGCATTTTGAAAGAACACAATGCATTTAACGGGCAGAATTTGACACGGTGTCCCAGAACGCACCCAGGGTGCCTTGCATGTTGTATCTGGATGTGAAAGGTCAATGATCAAAAGTCGATATGTGAGGAGGTCGGAGTGAGAATGCGTTGGTTACATTTGCACGTTTATTATGTAGCGGATAGGTTCAGACTTTATGTTTGGATAACGCTGTGGTTAATGTGTAGGTAGGCTTAAGCACAAAAAACACTTGGTTATGATTAGGAAAATGTAATGCTTTGGCTTAAAATACCAGGTTCTGGGGGCACAGTCCTGGCACCAAAAGCTGCAATGTCATGATAAACTACAACCTCACTACAGGGCCCTATCCCTGCTGGAAAAACACTGACAGCTTGCTACAAAACACCCACATTTGGGGCCTAAATAGCTGAATGAAACACAGCATGACTTGCGAAAACACAACTAGTTTTGTTGTTTGTTAGTCTTGAACAGTGGTCTGCAGCTTGGCAGGCATCTAGCCCAGAGACCTTCTTGAAGAGGTGGTCTCGGTCTGGTTACAACTGAACTCTTGTGCGGTTTGTTTGTGGTGAGAATGTGTTCCGACCTGGATCTGAACCAACTGCAGTCACATGACACATTGTTTGGGTTAAACATGAGCATGTAACAGTCCTGGAGGATTATTAATGTGCGCCTCCTCCTGTACTGCCTTAATATGCACATTCAGCACATCCAATGCATCAAAACATTGTTTTCTAGTTGGAGCCGCGCCTCGTTTTCAAACTGTATGGTTTGACTAAAATGAACAATGACAGCAATATAGTCCACGATGACCAGCGCTAAAATCAACCTGCGTAGTTGTCCCTCCATTGTGACATTAGAAAGTGTCACATTTATCTTGCAAGTGTACTCTTCTTCAACGTTTTGTTTACTTCCTGGATTTTTCCCGCATGAAAATTCTGACCAATCAAGAGCAGCTTTCTCTCACAAGGCATTTTATCTGGTCCACTTGTAAATGCTGCCATGAGAACACGAACCAACTCTAGGCAATTATGCAACTTTGTAACAACATTAGTCCCTGATTCAGACCAAAGCAAAACAACTCTAAGTCTGAAATCACCATTAGTCTTGTTAGAAAGAAATCACCATTAAAGCACAACAATATAACCCTGATTTAGTTTATTTGTCTATGTACAGTATGTTTTGGGTTGTAAGTAAAAAGTGAGAGCCTAATGGAAAAAAAGAAAACAAAACAACCAAAGTAAATTCAGATGAAATATTTTTTTGATTGGTGGAGAAAAAAAAGCAGGAAATAAATGAAACAAAGGCACTCTACAGTCCAATATCAAACCATTAAATTATGCTAACAACAGTTATCACAAATTATTCTGGTATGTTTGGTTTTGAAACAAACTGTAAAATGGAAAATAAATTACTTTTTGATACACTAGGAGAGGTGCCTAAGTTTCTTTCACTATAATTTTTTTTTACTACGCAGCTCAACCAATTTACAAATGTAAAAAAAAATGTGAAAATGTGCCTATTTCACAACAATAGTAAGCCATAAATCAATACAAGCACATACAGTAAAGTACAGCTGCACACACGGCAGAGAAAATAAAGTCTCATAAACGTACTTACAAAACAGAATACTTGATAGTTGAACTTTTTTGACTGATACCAGCAAAACCAGTGTGTTTACCTGAATATAAAATGGTAAATTGAACTGTATGACCATGACTATTGAGACACTGCTCTGTAAAGTAATACTTGCAATCCTCTGCTGCACATTCAATCTTTCTTTTCTTTTTTTTAATTTTGTTTTTATTTACAACTTTACAGATTTACATTACAAACAAACACATCTGGATTTTCTTTCCCAAACTGTAATATAAAAGTGTAAGATCTACACTCATGGATCAAACTGATGGCTTTCATTTACATGAGCTCAGCCTGGCGTATGACATGGTTTCTTTAATGGCATATCAAACACTAAATACAATCAAATACGACTTTGTGGTTGAGTGAGCTCACTTACCAAACCAGAACCAACTCAATAGCCCTAAGACTGAAAAATAAAGCCCACCCCAGCTGGTTCTTGGAGCAAGCTCAAGCAAACACTCACAGCATTTACTAAATACAGTAGTGGCTTTTTTTCTCAGATCATTTTCACCAGGTTTATCTTTATCACTGGTCCATCTCCCAGCACTGCCACAAAGTAGGGAGAGGACCTCAAAAGTGTCCAACCTGCCACAACAAAACAGTATTTCCTGAGAGAACTAAAAGAAAGAGCAGTGAAGGACGTGCAGGACGACAGTACACACACACGTCTGGATATTAGAGCCAAATCCTTCAGGGACGCGGTTGCAGACAGCTCCCTCTGCTCCTGTCTGGGTCCTCTGTTCAACATGGGATGGGAGAAGGGGGGCTGAAGGCAGCCAGATGGACTCACAGGCGGTGTGACAGACATTCTCCGCCTGGCTCTGATCCTTATCCATTAAACACTCTGGATGTTTTCATTCAGAGCAAAAGGAAGTCCTGACCTGTGCCATTGTCACAGTTCTGGGCACCCCCTTTCTGTCAGCTGCTCTTCTCTTGTGACAGGCACATACACAATGTCACATCCATTGGGGGGGGGGGGGGGGGGGGGGGGGGGGGGGGATGGCGGAAGGATGGCGGACTGATATGGAAGTGAATAAAAAGGGGCCACTGAACGGAGGTGCTCCACTGACAAAACGGACATTTGTTCGACTGACAAATGTCAGAGAAGAATAGGATTGAGGAAGAGACAGCGAAGGAGACAAAACCTTTCATACTGTTTGGAGGACTGACATGTACAATCTGGTAAAATACTAAACATTCAGTACATTCTCAGACATTTGTCGACACTGACTCCCAAACCATACTGAAAAAAAGTTTAGAATATTTATAATTTGATTTTGTTCAAAAGGCCATACATTATTCTAAAGGACAGTGCTAAGAGAGGCAGAGAGAGCCCCTGTTGTCTCTTTCAAAAATATTCGAGTATAAGGCAAGACCAGACTGGTTATGAGGACACAATACACACTTTGGAGAAGGGTCCACACTTTATAGCAACTGCACACACAAAGGAAACATTTTCAAGTTAAAGAGCACATTTCATTTAGCACCTTGTTGAATAATTTACAGGTAGAATACTGCTGATTGACACAACTCAACACGTCACACCCACAATGTTTAGTGACTGTTACACAAATAAGGGTTGTGATCCACCAGCGCATTCTCACTCTCAACTTCTCAGGTACGGCAGGTTGGTCAGTGGCCCTACGCTTCAAACTAAGTTGCTCTAGGTAAACGTAATTAAAAAAACTCAATGTTGACTTTTGGTTTCACACCACAGACCGTTTAAAAAGACGGACAGGATGACAGCTCCCCAGAAGTGAAGCCAAAACATCTCCATCGCCTCCTGGTGGCTGGCTGCAGTATAGGTCATAAACCTCGCCCCCTCCATGTTAGCAGATGGGACATGGGCTAAAATCAAAGTATAGGTCAAAATAAAAAATAAAAAAATAAAAATTCTCAAAGATGTTTTCTGTAACTTTAGGTCATTCTTATCAAGCTGATGTTCAAGTGTTCATTTTTCTGATAAGTTTGGTTTCAGTTAGTTATTTGATTCTATAAAAACGGGGTTTGACGTCAAGATTGACATGATTGATCGGGTCGGATGGGTGGATGGGCAAGACCTCGATAGCGGTAGCTCCATTTCCCGATAGCTACTTCACAGACTTTGGCTCCAAATGACGTCAACAGTGCAAGATGGCAGCGCCTGTATCTGCCTCTATGTTGGCTTCATTTATGTACAATGGGAGGAAGTAGAGTAGTGTTGTCCATCTTGATATAAAGTCATTGTTCCACACTGGACATGAACTGTGGTCTCCTGGGTGAAAGTCCTTTACTTTTTTAACCCTTCGGCCACCCCTCACTCCCAACCAACACAGACTTTCTTACTCTTTATACGCCATTGCCAATGGATTTACACTAGAGGCATATGAAAGCCCAATGTGTCTCATACAGATGCAAGAGGGTGCCTTGTGTGTCAATACCAGACGCTAAGATGCCACTGACCAAGCTGCCGTATTTGATGCCCTGGGAGTGAGAACGGGTTGCAACACACAAGGCTCATTTAAGCTTTTCGACAGTTGAAAGATAACATCAATTTTGATTCAGCTACTGCACAGACAATATAACTCTGCTCTGATGATCTCTAAAAGCAGATAAATGGTTTTCAGGTTCTGTTAATTGGCTTCTGTCTAGCTGAATGTCCTGTCTTCTCTTCAGGTCCTTTCAAAAATGGACAGTCTCCCCAAAAACTGCGCTTCTAAGTTTGAAGGCTAACACAAGCACTCCAACTGATTGGCTGACTGATTTTCATCATTTCCTGTTCTTACTTCCAGGTGAAACTCAAGCCAAGCAACATGCCTCTCACACTGGTGTGGTTCTGCGATTCACCCCGTCCTTTAAATCATTGGGGAAACAGTTATGGACCTGGAGGAACTCTGCAGCCTCCTCGTGTTCGGGGCTGTATGTATTCTCCGTCACACTGTCCCTCGCCAGGGCGTACATGGACAACTCATCCAGGGGCCCACTGGAGGATTGTGCCCCCTTCAGACCAACCACAGGTGAGTTCTCCCGCGATGCCTCTGTCGAATGAGAGCTGGCGTGCGACGTCCGCCGGCGGTAGCGGAAGCTCGGTATCCTTGAGTAAGGGGAAGAGGAAGAGAGTGAACGGATGAACTCGCGCCGAGCCTTCCACCGGACTTCCTTGTTTTTTTCAATGTAGATGTTGATGGCGAGGACAGCCACAGTTTCAGCCACAATGAAGGAGAGGGCACCAAAATAGAATGACCATCCATAGGAGTACGTGTACTTCTTGTCATCGTCACGTTTATCGCTGGGGTCTCCTGCGTTGCTGGAGATGTAGACGATGATGCCAATTATGTTGCTCAAACCTGATAAACAAGAAACAAACAATAAATGGAGACAGGAAAAGGGAGGCATGTGATGTAGTGCAGAGGTTCTCAACTTTTTTCATGTTAAAGACCCCTAAATTGATACACATTAGTACACAGAAACCCATTTTAAAGATTTCACTTCAGGGACCTTGATCTGAAAATACTTTGGTTGTTAGATATGATTAAGACCAGAATTCTAATGTTGTCAACTACAACTGACGAGATAAATGTGAAGAAAATTAAACCTATGATACAGACACTCTTATTACTCTGAGACCCTGTTAATACCTGGTATTAACATGCATCTTAGATGATGTGATCACAACTTGACCACATATCTTTTGTAGTGTAAACGCTAATGCGTCCTGATGCCTCCTGGACAAGGACTACGTAATCAGTGCAGGACGTAGTGGTTGTTTTGGTGATAGCGTTCTGACGCTCTACAACTTGTCCAATTTACAGACGAGGTGGACTACGTGTTGCATGATCGTCTGTAGATGTGCCTTAAGGAATGAGACGTGTTCATTTCTACTGACAGCAGGCCCCATGGAAGTGAACTGGGCTTTGAAGCCAATATTTTGTAGTGGCCAAACAGTGGAATTACAACTTTTGAGTCCATCAAGTGAACCCCCAGAGCCCAGAAAGACTTTTCCCTACAGACTTACATTGGGTAAAGATGTCTGTAAATCAGTATCCATTCAGTCCAATGACATTTTGGAAGTCTAGAAGAGCTGCATGATCATTTTATCCCTATTCAAGTCAGCAGAACTCTAAGCTGGAAGTGGCTTGTTTGGCCTGCAAGTGGTTCATTTGACTTCCACTTCAACGTAACAACATAACGCTAGCATTAACACAAAGAACACGGGCCAATGAAACAGGAAGCTAGCACTGACAGTTTTCCTACATTTCAATTTTTAAAAATCCCAGTATATATTACCTTTCTAACTGTGTCACAATATGAATGAAATGACTCATTACCCTTGTATTGTGATTCAAATTGCATCGCCAGACTCTTGCCAATGCACAGCCCTAATCATCCATGACTTTAACAGAAACAGTGATTGCACCCGTGAACTCCCACTGTGTTAAGCTGTTCATCAGCCAGTGATTACAGGACTCTCATCCCTGCCGAGACCCTTAATAACACGTGTCCTCATCACTTGTGTGTGACGTGTGTGAAGATTGGAGATCCTGACCTCCTTCATTGGGAATTAAAGTTCATCGTGATGACTGCGCCTTTGATGAAGTACAATATGTGATCACAGGTGTCACAATCAAGCTGCCTTTTTTCATAATAAAACCCCTGCCCTGTTACATGATTGCTCCTCGCTGGGAACATGGTTAACAATGTAATCCTGCAGCTCACCTGCAGCTACAAAGAGAATGCCCGCGCTGAGGAGGACATTGTTTGTCTTGTTGTAGACTCGACCAACCCCGACGCACAGCCCACCGAGCATCAACAGGATGGTGCTGAGGATGGGGAACACACTGGAGGCACGAACTATACCTGCAGAGACGGAGGAGGGGGGACATGACATATTTAAAGGGATAGTTTGGATATTTTGAAGTGGGGTTGTATGAGGGACTTATCTATAGTCAGTGTATTACATACAGTAGATATCAGTCGGCACATCCCCAGTTTGGAGAAGCAGGCAGGAGTACTGACAAGGAAGCTAAACGATGTACTGCTATGGAGGTGTCAACAACAAAACCTATTTTAGCCACCTAAAAATAAAGTATACGCTATATTTAGAATATTTTCCCTGCATAACCTTGCCGTCAGACAGCAATTTCCAAAAGGGAAGAGAAGCCGTTATATCGCTCCCGTGATTTTGCATTGCTGAACACAGGAGTTGCTGGTCTAACACTGCCTCATTCAGTTACTTGTTTTGTGTTATGTGTGACTTTGGCATTTAAAAGGGTTAGTTTCAGATTCACCAAAGTCACAGTAACACAAACAAACTAAATGACTGAGGCAGCGGTAGACCAGCAGCTCCAGTGTTCAGCAAGGTAAAATTACTGTTTTTTTGGATGGAGTCTGGTGGCTTTGACGAGAGCAAAGATGGGGAATGGAAACCGTTAATGGCCTCCCTGCTGGACTCGGAAAGGTGAAGCAGTGAAAATACTCTTAATATAGCGTACACTTAAACTGCTCTTGATTTTTTTTTTTTGGTGGACCTTTTTTTAGGTAGTTAAAATATTTCTTCGCTGGCCCCCGTCCACAGCAGTACATTGCATAGCTTCAGTGTCGGTACCTCTGCCACTTCCCTAGAGAGTTCAGGTCGCCATGTGCTGTAGGTAATACACTGATTATGGATAAGTACCTCATACAACCCACTTAAAAAACAACAACAACAACAACAAAAAAAAGTAACTATCCCTTTAATAATTGGACAAGTCACTGTAAATGGTTTCAACACAAGTCATTAATCACGACATTTGATTGGACAGCAAAGAAAATGGTCAATAAAAGATGAATAAAAATTAATTAATCAATCCATCAACCAGTAGATCAAATTATGTAGTAATTTTGAGTCAGTTACAAGAATTAACACATTACAGGCAAATCAATTGTGGAAATTTCAAAGCCATTTAACAAAACAGTTCTTAAAAAGAAAAATCTCCTCTAAATTATTTGAATCTTCACTTTGATGAGCCCTCATCTGTCCAGCCCCACTTCTTCTTTCATCCATTTTTGAGAACTCCTTTATCACTTATTCTTTGTGGCCTTGTTGTGACAAAGCTTCGCTAATCAGCTGCAGGATGTAACAAGAGCTCTCGCTGACTATCACCTCCCCAGAAATGAACCACTGTGCCATTTTACAAGTTTCCAAGGATGGATGAACTTATGCAACTGTAAAGTGTTTTATTAAGCCCTCTTTTCATTTAGTCTGGTTAATGGGCTGAGTTTGGACTTTGTCCAAAGTCTGATAAGTCTTCTTTGTTCTTCTCTGCATGTTGGGAAGATACTGAATTGGCTATGCCTTACATGAAAGTCTTTTGCTGACTGAATATCCAAATGTTATATCAAACTTATCACATTCTTTGTATAAGCTTTGTCATTGCCGTTTTCAAGGCTTTCACAGTAAAACACCTTGATTTTTTTTTAAAGGAGCAGAATGATTTAATCTGGTTTCAACAAAGATTTCACATCCCTGTCAACACAGTTCATGGTAAACAACTTCCTCTTGCATTGAGCACAGCTCAAAGTATGCTTCACGTGAAAGAAAAATGAGGGAAAGATGCAAATAAGGAGCTGATCCTGCACCAACATCACTCAAAGTAATTAAAGAAATAAAAAATAACACACTATAGGCTGCTTGCAGTGCAAATAGTAAAATGTTTTTCATGCCTTTTAGATTATATTTTAAATTCTTAATAAGGAAAAAATAATTAGTTTCTTTTGAGCTCCATGTCTGAAGCCCCAGTGTCATCTTTTGTGGGGCTGGAGCTAATTGATTTGGGAACATTTCATTCAAGTATGAGAGTCCATCAAAACTCTTCAGCACTGCGTGAATGCAACCCTGAAGAAAATGTTGCCATTGAACATTTCTGCAAACCAAGAATACATTACATTTGCAGGTTATCATGTAGCAGATACCTTGAAACGTAAGTTCCGGCACAAAAAACACTTGGTTATGATTAAAAGAGATCATGATTTCGTCTAAAATACATAATTCAGGGGGCACAAGCCTGGCAGAAAAAGCAGTAATGTCTCGCTTCTCATGCCAATAAAGCTGCTGGAAAAACACTGATGGGTCGCCACAAAATACCCACGTTTGGTGCCAAAAAGCAGCTGGGAACATAACAATGACTCACTTAATCACAACATTTTGTTGTTGTTGGTTTCAAACAGTGATCTGCAGCTTGGTTACACACCACCCACCCTCCTGTTCACCTCCCGATGACAAAGCCAGCATATACATTATGTCACTTTATAAATGTAGGTATTCGTTCATTCGTTTTTTCCGTAACTGCTTATCCTGTAGGGGGCTGCAGGAGGGCTGGAGCAGGGTACACCCTGGACAGGTCACCAAACTATCACAGGGCTGACACATAGAGACAGACAACCATTCACACTCACATTCACACCTATAGTCAATTTAGAGTCACCTATTAACCTGCATGTCTTTGGACTGTGGGAAGCAGCTGGAGTACCTGGAGAAAACCAACGCTGACACGGGGAGAACATGCAAACTCCACACAGAAGGGAACCCCCACCCTGGAGTTCGAACCCCCACCCTGGGTTCGGACCAGGAACCCTCTTGCTATGAGCATGGTTTGCAGAAATGTTCAATGCCAACATTTTCCTCTGGCAACTGGGCCGGTGAACACGACTAAACATGCAGCTGTGTTTGGCCAAGCTGCTTTTAATTGTCCCGTAATACAAAAACGTATTCATTGCTTTGAAATAATTTGCAAGAAAAGTCAGGCATCCAAACAGACAAAAAAAAACATCATGCCTTGTGGTCATAGTCTGATAGAGTAATGCTTGTAATCCAGCCCTGAAAACATTTCAAGCCTGTCTCACTGAATGCTGTCACATTTCTCCGCTGTCTGTCTCTGCCTTTGTTCTGCATTTTATCAGTCTCTGCATAAAAGAGTATCGTCTGTTTGGAGACTGCTCTCAGAAGCAAATAATAAGACGCTGAAGGTCAGCGGACTTCCTGCATGCCCTTACAAATAAAGGAAAGATAACAGCTAGACAAAGAAGACAAGAGGGGAGCACTTACGCAGCAGGTATTCAGAGCTGTCTGTGTCGTAGTCGTTGTCATCAGGGAAATGGTTTATCCTGTAACAGCTGCCTTGATTGATTCCTGCAGGACAAAGAGAAACAGTCTCAATTTTAATGATGAAATACAGTCCACAAGGTGCTATAAGAGTCTGAAATATATGGGATGTGTAGGAGATGAGGCCTGTTCAACCAACAAATAGGATCAAGGATATGTGCATTAATCTCCTTTCGAGGCAAGCTGAAGTTAAAGCGGATTTATTTGATGCTTCGGGGTTTGACTTTTGATGTGAATCCATCAAACTTCAGCTGGTTTCAGCTGTCTAAAGGATGTGTGGCTGCCAGAGTCACAGCCAGAGTTTCTCAGTACCCGGCGACCTGTTTTTGTTAAACTGTGTCCACTGGAGTAAGACACTGTTGTCTCTGATAAAAGAGGAAGGACTTCTGGTTGTTTTTCATGTCTTAACAACGCTGCTTCATGAGAGAGAAGAGACGACGAGGCAGCTGGACATGGAAAAGGAAACACTGTCATCCTCATACAAACTGATCTTACAGAAACGTGGAATGACTTGGACGTCTTAGCACCGCATTACATAATGGTGACACATAATGTGCTAAAATTACATGCCGCCACCACAGTAGCAATGCCAATGGAAAGTCATTTAGGCTGTCACTCAGTGGGTGGTGGTTAATGTTGCTGTCATGACCCATCAAGTTACCTAGATTCATGTTCCTGTTTCATTTTTGTAACCATTGTCTCATCACGTTTCAGATCCCATGTCTTGTCAAGTTTCCCTCCTTTGTGATTCCTTGCCCAGCCCTAATGTGTTTCACCTGTGCCTCATTGTCTCCCTCATCATAGTTTATTTAAGTCCCTGTCTTCCCCTTGTTTATTGCCAGATCATCTTTACCCTTGAGTAAGAGTTCTAGCGTTACCCTAGTGTTCCCTCTGTTTTTGTGTTTTTGGCCCTTTTTGCCTGTCGTTTTTGAATACTTTTGCCTGTGTGACTGACTTCCAGTGTACCGACCCTGAACTTTCATCTGAGTCTGTGAGTCTGCTTAGTCAGTTCATCTCCAGTTTGTGGTTGATAGTTAGAACCCCATAGGCCGTGTTCAGAGGGCTACTTTTAAAACTCAAAGTAAGTAATGTCTTCTGGATACTTTGGATTACTTTTGGAAACTTCAAAATCACCTTTCTGAGCTGAATAAAAAACATGTTCCTGACAGTGTCCTGACTGCATCTCCTCTGCCATTGTCATTTGGCAGGTACACTGCACACACTTTTCAAAGAAATCTTTTCATGGTAAATGCGTGCCTCATATGAATTTAACACCGTGTCCTTGCAGCAACTGAGCATTGCTTTCTTTCAACAGTGAACACTGTGCTCACATTATGAGCGACACAGCAACAGGCTAAAAGTAATTTTGGGTGGAAGCCAGTGACATGTCACTACAAACTGACGAACGTCACGTTGTTGCAGATGGGTGTGACACTCTACAAATCAGAGTTGAGCTGGCCTCAACTTTTTTAAGTTCTCCAATGATGTGGTTAAGCAAACCAATCCCTATGTTTTGGGGTTTTTGTTGTTGTTGTTAGCAAATCAGCCATTCTTCGTCTATGTGTCCAATGCAATCAGACTGACAGTCGCTCCCGTAGCTTTCCGTGTTAGAGCAAATAAAACAAATACAAATGAAGTAATCCCTTCTAATAATCTATTTTTTAAGGCAGTAACTGTACTCAGAATATCACAGAGTCAGATCAGAATATCAATTAAACTGTTACAATAAAACATTTTCATTTATTTTTTTGTATTATAAAAACGTAACACCATTACTTGCATTCTGTGTCTCCCCAACCCTGCCCATAAAAAGCGTGAAAGGCCACCTAGAGAGGTGGTCAGAGAGGTTGACTGGTCAAACAAACACAGGACTTTCTCTCAGGAGGCAGCTGTTTGTGTCCCACGTGTAGCCAAAGTCAACTTTTTTTTTTTTTTTTTTTTTTTTTAATTTATTTAACCTTTCTTTGGCCATATCTTCTACAAGAGAAATCTGGCCAAGGTAGCAGCTAATCAAAACACATTAAAATGCAACAAATACAACATATAATACAAAAATCCACAATAAAAAGACCAGCACAGTCAGGAAAGTATTGTTTATATAATTTTTGTGAGACTTATGAGACAAAAAGACTTTTCCTTATAGATTTTGTTGGATGGAATAAACTGGATCCATACGTATCGCACACAACGCAAAATATTCTCTGATGTGAGAACTCATAACGCTCTGTTTTCATCTACAACCATAAATTAAGACTTTGACCTCTGACCCTAACTTTTGACATTACAATGGGGGTCAGACATGTTCCCTGTTCCCTGTGCCCAATCTGACCCTGCAAACTAAAGATCACAGCTCAATGCACACACATTGGAAAGGGAAAACTAATATGAGGAGGGGGTATGAGTTTGCGTGTTTCGGGGATCAGTGCACACGTGATTCGGCGGTGGGATTAAGATTGCGTTGCCCTTAGGGATTTCATGGCTTGTGGCGCGTGTCCAAATCCAGCTCAGGTGAATGGTTGAGTGCCTGGAGGAACAAGAAGCCTATTTGAACAACAAAAGACCGTCTGCTGGAAGCTTTTAATGCCGAGGTGAGGTAGAGCGGGAGAATGGAGTGGAGGGTGAGAGAGAGACAGAGAGGTTAAAGCTGAGAGACGCCTGTAGCTGTAATTGTGCAGGATTATAAAAAACACCTTGTCTAGGGGGAGAGGGGTTGGGGGTGGGGTTAATGGATGCGCTCAGTGCAGCCGTGGTAATGCTGGGAGCTCTTTCACCATTTGGGCTATGAATACCCTCAACACTTTAGTCATTCTGCAAACTACACCCACAGAATCAAAGGTGGGCTGGGCTGCTGCTTAATTTGAATATTTTCACAGGAGAATATGTTGCGTATCTTTGCATTTGTCAGCATCCCAGTGTAGGGAAAGCAAGTGACCGCCTGCCTTAGTTACTGTTGCTATGCCTGTCAGCATTTGCCCACAGCACATGATGCACTTTACAGTGATAACTGTGGCAACGGGAATTTTTGAAGCAATGAGACTTTCATTTCATATAAAGGTGGACGAAAGCTGGCTTCTCATTTCTAGGCAGTGAGCGTCGATTTTACTGAAATGACAACTGTTGCTGCCTGCCGAGGTCATATTCATGCTGAACATTAGCAGTGCCTCACGTGACTCACACTGAAACACAGCGTACTAGCCATGCCCTGATGCTAATGTTTGCTACCGAGTTGATTTAATTGCAAAGACTGTATAAAAATAATGGACATAGCCAATGTGACGTCACCTATAGCCATAGCTTTATGGACTCCCATTTTGAAGCCTCAAGTTTGGCACTTGGTCAGTCACCATCTTGGATTTTTGGAGCCAAAAGTGACCATATTTGGATGAGAGGTTGGAGCTCTGGAGGAGTGAGGGGTGGATCTGACTCATAAACAGACAGCTTGTCACTCAAAGCAGCCACACCAGAAGTGGGACCAGAGGGATGTCGTATGCTGTAAAGCCCTGTGAGGCAAATTGTGATTTGTGATATTGGGCTTTATAAATAAAATTGATTGATTGATTGATTGATTGATTGATTGAAGTCATTGTTTTGCAAATCACAAGTAAGTCTAAAGACCTTGCACTCAAGTCCCAAGTCAAGACCAACAAGTCTTAAGCCAAGTCCCAAGTCCTTAACTTTGAGTTTTGAGTCCAAAACAGTCATAATGCACTATTCAGCAAATTTCATGCCATTTTAACAACAGAACAGTAACATATTAAATTTACAAAAATGACAAATGCTTTTTATTTATGTATTTATTTATTTATCTTAAAACAAGTTTGTTAAAACAAATGTGGCTGAACTTATTCAGAAACAAAAGTAATGTTGACACGTACAGTACTTTAATAGCATAATTGCAATGACTTTTTAATGTTTTGTCATGTCTCTCATCTTGTATTGGAAAAATGTCTATAACTTCTTCTTCCCAAACTGGCTTGGCGAAAGAGATCAAGCATTTTTAACTCTGAAAGCTCAAGTCCAAATGAAGTCATGAGTCACTGAAGTCATCAAATTTGTGACTCAAGTCTGACTCCAGTCCAAGTCCTGTGACTCAAGTCCACATCTCTGGACCACACCCTTAATTATGTGTAACTTTAAGCCTTAATAAAATGTAAATGGATGAGTTGTATTAAAATTTACCCCCTATACAGTCGTCACGAAGGGGGAAATTATCTACAGACCAAAACCATTTTAAGTACCAGGCTGTAAACATGTTTAGTTCTGCTGTAAAGTTGTGTATTTTAACATGGACATTTTCTTGTTATAACCTGAAAATATCTTGTAAAAATGTGAAAAATACCTTCTTATAACAAGAAACCCTTTTTTATGTTATTACCTGATACTGGCATCAATACGCTGCCGTGGTAATATGCACTTGAGGCTGTCACACAAGACTGAGATTAGAGCTGCATGTGCCAGGCATGCAAATAAAGAATCAGCATTGCCCCTGAACTGCAGTGTAGAGCTACTTGGTCAAATACCATTTTTCTAACAGTGCATCTATGCAGGTTATATATGCAGGTTTTTTAAACGCGAGAAAACCTTCTAAAAATAGTTGATAGACACCTTTTCCCCTTGCCAGACCAGAGCTGTGATGTTCAAGTGCTACTTGGATGGAGAGAGGCAGTATTTTGTGGTGGCCTGTCTTTGCTTTGCGCTGGAAAAGGGGCAAAAATTAGCATGTCCACCATGTTGTCACATTTCCATCACAGCCATTTGGCGCTGTTATTTGTTCCGGGAATGAATGTCGACTGTAACCTTTCCCACTAAAGACAAAAGCCAGATGTTAGTCGGAGTAAGTGACTTTCTTGTCCAGGGGAAAGGGGCTAAAGTATTACAAGTATGACAACAATTCTAACATAATTCGGTTTGGCTGCTAAGCTTACTTATTCATATTTTCAAAGTAGATGTGCTGATCGTGAACGGGCCACTATTGGTTAATGAGCAAGACGGCCAGACAAAATCATGTGCAGCTTAAGTTGGAGCAG